CACCCCCCTTCCTGAAATGAACATGTCTCGCAGCATTAGACAATCGGTAGATTTTGTAATCAGTAGTGCTCCCAAGGTAATTCGACGTGATTTATAAAAGGACAAAGGTATCAATAAATGCTCTGATCTTTGTGTAGGCATTTTGATGCACTACGACGACCCAAACCAAGATCTGCAAGATCTGTACTTCATTGATCCTCAGTGGCTTTGCGAGTTGATGGCACAGATTGTGACGCTACAAGAAGTGAACCGATTCATTCGCAATGGCATCTTAAACCTGGACGCCCTGCCCCAGATTTTCAAAGGTGAACTCTTTCCATACCGGAACGCTCCGCAATTCATCCGTCTGTTGAATCGCTTCCAGATCGCATGTTCCTTAGACGAAAACCGCGTCCTGATTCCTTCCAAACTTCCCGCCGGGCAACCGGATGAGGCCACCAACGACGATCTCCCGTTTATCACACTGAAACGAATCCATTCTTTGCCTTGCATTCCGTTTGGATTCTGGAGTCGCCTGATTTCGCGCCTGTTGTTTTACATGAAGGATATGCTGTCGGGCGGAGAAAATTTCAGTCGACAGGAGTACTCGAGCCCGTTTCAGCTCGATCCATTCTGCTGCAAATGCCCCCTTGACCTAGAGAGTTCAACCACAGGGGGTCTTGCCGACAGTGACAATGAAGTACTGGCTACCTTCGAAGCTTCTCTTGGTGGGTCGTTTGAGAATCTGCCAGGTTCGCCTGGTGACTTCCGCGGTCTCGTTCGATTCTTCAGTTCTCACCGTACGGGAACCTTCATCAACGGCCGATTTTTCAGTCATTCCGATTTGGAAGGTGGAAGCTCTCGGAGTGATTCAGGTTTCGAGTACAGTTCAGACGACGACGATGAAGCTCGTGCCAGGGCGCCAGGCGAGCTCACTGCGTCCTATCCCTTTGTTGGTTCCAAAGCCGATAGTTCGTGGAGGAATGAAAGAGTATTTAAACATGGTACTGACCCGGGAACACACCGCCGCCATGACGAAATTAATGACCTCGAAAGCGAAACTCCCAAAAGCGACTCGGCTGTACCAATCTTGCGACAGAAATTGTCACACGGAGACTCAGTCGAAAATGCGCATTTTGGCGCATCACGCACAAGCTCTGAACAGGGCTCCTGTGTAACACTCAATTCCAATCAGTTTCACATTAACCCCGATGTTGCGGAAGGTCCCTCAGCGGCTGATAACGATGCACTTTCGAATTTCGATGGAAAAGATGTTGACTTGGTAGATTCATCTCGACCAAATGAACTCGCCAGTGGCGCAGCCGATGAAGACATCGAGGTTCTCGCTTCGAAAGACACATGTTTAGAATCTTGTTCTGAAAGGCTCAATGGTCATCTTGAATTAAATCTTTCTCAAAATTACGATAGCGATGACAGCGATAGCGTGCCTTATCACTCTGCCACCTCCAGATCATGTACCCCAGATCCACTGACACACGAAAAAAGCGATGGACACCACGAGGATCCTTCATTAATGGAGCTAAACAAAGATCCTGAAATACGTCCCTTTAACGAAGACCCTGGTACCGATGGCCTTAATCAGTTCCAGTCCTTGACGGAGTCGTGTTTGAAAGAGGCTTATTTTCACCGATCTGTGTCAGAGGAAAAGTTTCAAGGCGACAGTTGTGAGGTGGCATCTAATCACTCGGCCAGCTCCTCTGTATCAAACAGCATTTCGTCGGATAAAGAGTCTGATGGAGAATGTTTTCACACCGGTTCTAGTCGGGGATCTAACGTCAGCGAGGCAGGGGACACATCCATAGAGATACGGACTGTTGTTGGTGACGAGGAAATTGCAGGTAAAAAGAGTAAATTGTAATTTCTGTGGTCAATGTTTCCATTATTTTCTTAGGACGTTAAGTGCTCTCGTTGTTGAACCACGGGTGGTAACCAGAAGTTGTTTTTCTTGTTTTATGGCGTGTGCCTTTGCAGTCCTGTCAATGCGTTGGAAAGCTCTCGCTTTTGCGTCTAAGAAACATATATTTAGCTAACCCTAAAAGCGGAGCTCCTGGGTCGGGTTGTTCGAAGCCCGCCTGAGCTACCCCACGATAAGCGAGAATTTTGATTTGAAGTTTGCAACTTTGTGGTGAGGTTTTCTGTTTATATTGTTTGGCCCTCTCTTTTGAGTTTGAATAATTGTCAACTACACAAAACATAAATAGTGAAAAACATTTTTATACAAGGCAAATTTATACTTCGGTTAACTTTCAATCCTGGGTTAGCGTTAACCGGCTTCCGAACAACACGGCCCTAATTACAACAAGTAAACCTCGCTTGAGCCCGCGATCCAATCGAAAAACCAGCACTTGGTCAGAGCTCCAAACTCAAGTCCGCGATATGGTCACGTGATACTGGTCAGCGAATAACTTGTTTTGACAAGTGTCAATTGACCATAACATGGATGTCCAATATCAAAGATGTACGCTGTAAAACAAGGCTGTATGTCTCTGTCAAGCTATTAGCTGGAGCTGATAGGCTAACAGCTAGCTGGTTTTCTTTTCTTTCCTATATGATTATGGTGCTCCGCTTAGCTTCGGGCCGCCGGAGCTCCGCTACACTTTGGCGAAAGGCAGTAAGACGCGCCCAACCAGAGAATACTTGACTTCTGGTTGGCGTCCGTATTTCAAACACGTCTGTTCTTCAGTTTCTTTTTACTTGTGTGTGACCTCGTAATTAATTAGTAACAAAACCTTGAGGTTCCAGCCCAATTATTTTCACGTTTAAATAAGATTAAATAAGCCGATAAATTTTTCTTTTCTTAGCAGCCAGCCATGTGTCAGACAACTCAGTCAGCATCGATTGGAATGAAACAATTGGAGAGGTTCCCAATGCCGGGACTTCGTCACACGATTCTCCAGGCTCAGTCCCGCCCCTTCTCCCCGAGATCTCAGTAGAATCGCCGGAGACTGGAGCCCATTCTAGAAGTCCTTCGGCGACGCCGGATCCTGGCAGAAGTAACGTTAGAGATAGCAGCAGAGCCAAGCACCGCAGTGTTACATCGCATCTTCCTTACTGCCCATTCAAGGAAGATTTCCCCATCGACAGCCTCCCGCAGTTACCAACAGACCTGGCGACGCTGATTGACCATGGCTTCCTTCATTGCTGGAAGTCCGGAGTGTGCCTTCGTCACCCTCGCTTGTTCTTCCTGCTGTACTGCCTCCCGGATCCCGCTTCTGACCGACAGTTGGTCGTTACAGAAGTAAGCCCTTGTCCACAGGGTCGGAGGGTCTTAAGCTACGTGGTAGACCACATCGACACCCTGATTCGGGAGTGGTATCAGGAGTTTTCGTCCACGGACGGCCAGCAACCCAAGGTCAGGCAGCTCATCCCCTGCGTCGTGTGCGAACTCCTGGGTCTTGAACCGAACAAGTTCTCGTTTGCTGAATGCCAGCTTCAAAGTTCAAGGTCAGATACAATTCCCTGTCCCCGTCATCCTCGAATCAAGGTTAATCTACACAAAGTGGCACCTGACATCATGTTACATGACGTAGATGCCGATTTGTTGTTGTCGCATGACGAGATCACCTATGAGGACACCGAGTCAAAACGGCTGGGCAGCGGTGGTTTCGGAAAGGTACGTTGTCATTTTGCTAAGAAAAATTCGGCATATCTCCTTCTATTAAACTAATCGCAAGCCTTCAATGTTGTAGTGTAGTGCCTTGTTTTCGGGCAATTCGCGGAACGTAGAAACTCTCTAGTTTGGCCGGTAAAATTTTCCCGGGTGAAATTTGATGGTGCTTGAGAAACAACGGAGCTTCCAGTCTAATAAATAGGAAATCTTATTGTTCAGTAGTAACGCGTGTATCAATGGACAAAGCAAATCTTTATTTCTTGTCATCACTGTGACCGATCTCTATTTGGCTTAGGACAAGTAAATGAGTCACATATCAGGGGGTTTAATTTCCGCGAATTTTAAGTAATGCGTGAAAATGAAAAGTATTAGATTAGCTATAAAATGTTGGCTGGTTATATAAATCGCGTCGAGGTCGCATTACAAGTGAGAGAACTTGGTAGTCTTTGTTTTTTCTTTGCGTCTCTCGACCTTTCATGAAGTAAGTCTAGCCTACAAGATGTCGCAGGTTGTTTCTCTGGAGAACCAATCAGAATGCGAAATATATATTACTAGTTTTATAAAAATAGAATTGAACGACCATTTCCTGAAATACACGTTTTCATGCAGACCAAGATCATCCCCAGGGCATCTTTTTCCTTGAAGTCCGAGGGGGCTGTAAAGCCTTGGGGACGAGGCCGCATTTAGACTTCTGTTACTTGGTGTCAGATACAATATATATATGGGTTACTGACCAAGTGTGAGGTCAAGATGGTTGGATATTGGCCAAGTTCTTTTTTTGCGCGTTTATGGACCGAGACNTCCCGAGCGGGCAAGATAGCTCCATCTTGTCCGCTCGGGTAGCCAATCACAGCACAGGATTTGATTCATCTTGCCCGCTCGCGGAGCTAGCTATATAATAATGAAAGTTAACGACTAAACGTATGACCACCGACCGCATTCCTGCGAACTGCTTGCTGATGTCGTCTTTTCCCTCAGGTTATTCGTGGTGAATGCCGAGGACAAGCCGTCGCCATCAAGTTCTACATTCAAAGCGACGAAACAGACCCCTTGAGGCATTACCGCGAGGCGCGCAAAGAATTGAACGTGCTACGCCGCGTGCGGCAGCATCCGTTCCTCATCAACATCATTGGCGTCTGTCTTCGTCCCTTATGCCTCGTACTGGAACTGGCGGAGCGGGGAGCTCTCACCGAGATCATTGTCAATCCGATGCCCATTCATCGCATTGTACTATTTCGCATCGCTTACCAAGTTGCCGATGCGTTGCGCTTCCTGCACGATTTGGGCGTCATCTACCGAGACCTAAAACCCGAAAATGTCCTAGTTTGGTCATTGGACGAGCCAGCTGATCTTCACGTTAAACTTATCGACTTCGGCACGGCGAATTTTGCGACTTCTACCGGTCTCATTTCGTGTGCGGGTTCATGCGGTAACCACGCGCCCGAGATGCTGGAGTGCGCAAACAAAGAGGAGTACACATCTCAAGTGGACGTGTATTCGTATGCGATCCTTTTGTACCAAATCATTACTCGGTCAGTTCCGTTTGAAGAATACGATTCCGAACCTAAAATCAACGCTGCTGTGATCGCCGGCGAGCGTCCGAAGTGGCGGGAGGTTCCGGTGTCGACATTCGGTCTTCCGACTCTTACCGAACTCATGCTTCGTTGCTGGTCGGATAGCCCGATGAAACGACCGACGTCTTCCCAGATAGCTGAGCAAGTCCGTCACCCAGCTTTCCAATGTTTGCTAGCTAAGCAGGCCGTTAACCCTCAGCAGCAATCTGTGCGGCATGCCTGTCTGGTGCCAGATTTCTGCGATCTGTGGCTGGCGTGTGATGACCATTCAGGAAACCGAATTTTTATCTACGATGGTCGCACGCTGGATATGAAGTTCTCGTTTTCTATTGAAACCGAACAACAGCAGCCTCTTGCCTTTCAGATTCAGTGCATGCATTTTATGAAGCCTTACGTGTTGATCGCCGTTCGCGGCCCCGCGGACTTAATCTATGTTTATGCTAGCTCAAGTGAACTTCGTTTTAAGTACGTGACATCCATGCCATTTGACGAGCAGATCACTTGCGTGTCGTCGAATGATGAGTATATATTTGTTGGACTGAGCGATGGCAAAGTGCGCTGCGTCCTGAAAACAGAAATGAAGAAAAGCGACAAAAAGCGTACATTATGCAGTTTCAAAGTGGGACGCCACCGAATTCTGTCACTGACTGTCGCACAGGATAAACTCTGGGTATCAACCAGTCGGTATATTTTCAGATATTTTACGAAACCCGGCGAAATGGAAGCGTTCGACATTGACGCCATGTGGTACGGCGGCCCCAAAGGAATGGAGAACAACCCTCAGACCCAGGTCTCCCTCCTCAAGGTTTGTCTTGACGAGCAAGGCGTTCTGTCCGTTTGCAGATCTGTCCTCAGCAAATGGGACGTCGAAACCAGACGGAATCTCTTCAACATCGACTGCGTAGCTATCCTGAAGAGCCTCGGCGCAGATTCCACTGAAGAAGAGGCACGCAAGGATAGCGGTGACGCCGCTGCGTGTATTACCTGCGTTGAGCCCACGCGCGACTCACTGTGGGTGGGGATCGCGAGTGGCCACATTTTGATCTTTGATTCCGAAACAGGGTATCTGCTCACGTGGTTTCATCCTTTTGATGAAACGCGGACCCTCACTCTAATTAATGGCCCTGGTCCGTGCGGTACCGAACAAAGCTACGTCATAAGCACTGGAAAGGGGCTAAGGCGAGAAGGGCTGGGACCTGTGTGCGTCTTAGCGGCGGAGCGGGTGCGAGAGCCCTCTCAGGAGATTACCATTAGGAAAACGAGTGAGCCGGAGAAAAAAAAGAATTACCTAAGGAGCATATCAGGACGAAAACTTTGGAGTGCCACCCCTCCAATCGAAGAACAAGAACATGACGCAGTCGACACAAATCCAAGCCCGCAGCCTAAATGCTCTATGATCATGTGGGAAGTTGTTTCCGGGAGTTGTTTTGCCAGAATAGAGTCTATAAGCGGCCGGCAACGTAGTCCTTTCCGTCTAAGTAACACCTCGTCAAATGTTCATCAGTCCTCGCAAGACAGTGACGAAACGAATCTGGGAACGTAATTACAAGGCGACGGAAGTACATCCGGAGATCTCTTGTGGAGGACTGAGTACCATATCTTGAGGGTACGAGGAATTAACTGACACTGGAAGAGTATATTGGCCTTGTTTGCTATCAAAGCATGACAATGAGAACTCACGAATAATTGTCAAGCGAACATACCTCGTTGGAGATCAGCTACCCGTTATCTGCGAGACCTGCCGTCTTAAAAGAACAGATGATTCAAAAGCAAATGATAAATTCAGTTGTTGTTGTCACTGCCTAAAGACGTCGCTATTGAATACGTATATAACAGATATCATAGGTAGTTTTTTTGCTATCATAAAAGAGAATTGTTGTGTTAATGGTAGTTATAGTGTATAGCAAATACGGACATCTTTTACAGGAGTTTCGTATATGAGCTTGACGAACGAACGAAAGGGAACGTTTTAAAATATGTACAAGTTGATTTTATTCGAACTGTGTATCTCATGGATTTTAGTGATTTTTTCCTTGTTACAACTCAAATTCAAATTGACTACGACATCAAGTCCTCTGTGGTGTTTTATGGAGAAAATTCTATATCTTTAGTCCCAATTCAAATTTGGGACAAATTTAATGTTATTAAATACAAATTTCGGCGCAGGCTGGGCTTAATTTATGCTTTCGATGTGGACTGTTCGTGCACGCCTAGCAGCTAGAAAAAAAATAAAGCCTGATGTTCCTTGCCACCTTGGTGAGATGAAGGCTGTTAAATTTACTTTTAAAGGGTTAAGAAGACCTGGTTCCCTGCCTTTTACCTCGCGGGCAAGTAAAATTTAAACGCCAATCCGAGACCCTTGATTTAAGCGCCACTGTGATGAAATTCACATCTTTCCTTGTCCTTCAGTGAAATCGACAAGCGAAAATAATCGCGAGCTTAGTTATGTGCATGCTGGCCGAAATATAGCTTACTCAAACACTGGAAAGAAGCAGAGACCAAGCAGAGACTTATTTCCAAGAGCTTGGGCGATATCTCCGAGTTCCAGGGACTTCAAACTAACTCGCAAAAGCCTTGTCCTTCAGTGAAATCAACAAAGGAAAAATAATCGAAAGCTTGGTTATACGCATGGTGGCCCGAAATATAGCCCCTGTTGGACTTACTCAGACACTGGAAAGAAGCAGAGACCGGGCTGCGCACACCTTGATTTTCAACAACTTCGGCTTAATTTCCAAGAGCTTGGACAATATTTCCGGGTCCCAGGGACTTGAAACTAACTCGCAAAGACCTTGTCCTAAGGTAAAATTGACGAGCGAAAAATAATCGAAAGCTGGTTTATGTCCATGGTGGCCGAGATATAGCACCTGTTAAACTTACTCCGACACTGGAAAAAAGTAGAGACCGGCCTGCGCAAACATTTGATTTCCACCTACTTAGGCTTGATTTCCAAGAGCTTGGACAATATTTCCGAGTACCAAGGACTTAAAACTAACTCGAGAAGACCTTGTCCTTCAGTGAAATCGACAAGCGAAAAATAATCGAAAGCTTGGTTATGCGCATGCCGGCCGAAATATAGCTTATTCGGACACTAGAAAGAAGTAGCTATAGAGACCGCGCTGCGCAAACTTTGATTTCCACCTAGTTAGGCTTGATTTCCAAGAGACTGGACGATATTTCCGAATCTCAGTGACTTTAAACTAACTCGAGAAGACCTTGTCCTTCAGTGAAATCGTCAAGCGAAAAATAATGGAAAGCTTGGATATCTGCAGATTGGCCGATATACCGCTTACTCAGACACTGGAAAGAAGCAGAGACCGGGCTGCGTAAACTTTGATTTTGACCCACTTAGACTTGATTTCCAGGAGACTGGACGATATTTCCGAGTTTCAGGGACTTCACACTAACTCGCAAAGGCCTTTTACTTCAGTGAAATCGACAAGCGAAAAATAATGGCAAGCTTGGTTATGTGCATGCTGGCCGAAAAAAAGCTTACTCAGACACTGCAAAGAAGCAGAGACCGGGCTACGCACACCTTGATTTTAACCTACTCAGAGACTTAGAGACCGGGCTGGGCAAACTTTGATTTTGACCTACTTAGTCTTGATTTCACGGAGCTTGGACGATATTTCCCAGTTGCAGGGACTTGAAACTACCTCGCAAAGACCTTGTACTGTCCTTCAGTGAAATTGACAAGCTCGTAGGCCTTATCCTTCAGTGAAATCGACAGGGGAAAAATAATCGCAAGCTTGCTTATTTGCATTCTGGCCGAAATATAGCCCCTGTTGGACTTACTCAGACACTGAAAAGAAGCAGCGACCGCGTTGCGTAAACTTTGATTTTGACCTCCTTAGAGTTGATTTCCAAAAGCTTGGACCATATTTCCGAGTTCCAGGCGTTAGGCTTATTTTAAGTTTAAAAGAGCAATAGATTTCGTAATCGTTTAGGGTAAGTTAGTCGCCTGAAATGTTAACTTATTTAATCGATTTGGCAAGCGAGTGAGCAGCGTTTAAAATTGTCTGACGTTTGTTAAGTTTTGATAATGCCGAGAGAGCGATGGATGCAAACAATAAAAAAACTAGATAGCTTACAAAATATTTAAAATATCATGTATTCGTGGGATATTGTAGTTGTTACAATAAAGTTGTTGTTTTCAGATAAAAATGCTTGTTTGATGCATGTTAGAGTCGCTTATGCTACTTTAAGAGGATTACGAACTAAATTTTTTTTTTTTTTTTTTTTTTTGCACAAGAGACGAACTTTCTTGAGTGCATTTTGTCTAGACCAACCCCACCTGAAGGCGCTGTTGAAAGCACGGGTATATCGTGTAACCGTTTGTACGTACAGGAAAATGGGGAAATAATTTTAAAAAAAGGAGAAATAAAAAAGAATTACTAAAAAAGAATAGAAAAGAGAGGAAAAAAGGAAAAACAAAAAGACAGAAATTAAATAAATGAAGAAAGAAAGAAAGAAGGAAACTAATGAGAAGGAAGGAAAGAAAAATTAGTCCCGTAATTAAGAAGTATGATGGACTGAATTACGAAGTATGCCCGCGGCTGCAAGCATGTATATTCCTTTGTATTATTGAGGGTGTAAGATAAGCGTAAGCGTTAACAAGAAGTAGATATAACTGTCTCAGGCTTGAATAACGACTTAAAAAATAAAGTAAATTTGCTTTCCTTCTTTCATTCTTTCTTTTTTTCTTTTTATTTATATTTCACGAGATTAAACAAAGTTAAACGAAGGACGACAAATGGCGAATAAAGTAAGCTTTTCTACAAGCCAAGAACCTCTTGTCTAAGAACGTTACCGTTGCTGAACTGATGACGTTGCCAACCGGATACTGAGAGATACATAGAGGACTATTACATGCCCGCGCGTGGATACGAATTTTATCTTCGAGTTTTCAACTCGATATCTCACATGTACGTCTACCAATTTTTAACTTCAAATTCTAATTTTAAAGCGACACCAAATCTTCCAAATTTCCTATTTCCATAAATGTTACTAAACCTTTGAGAGAAACTATTTATCTCCAAATATACCTAAAAATCACCAAAAAATTTACAAAACAGCCCAAACCATAGATATGTGGGATGAGCAGAGAGACTCTTGCCTGCTTGAAACGTGAACAAGATATTTGCATTAAAACCATAATACCCAGCCAAAATACGGCCTTCACCAGGGTCTTCCATTGTTCGCCGCCATTTTGAAAATAGTGGAAGAGGAGACCCTGGGGACGAGGATGATGGCGGACGAGGACGGAGATAGTTGGTCCACTCTTTCAAGTGTCGCTTTATGGGAATTTGTGGACAAAAAGATCAGTGTTCTTCTCTCGGACAACAGTAGGAAAGCAGGATGGGTACAAGCCATTGATCCAGTTACTCGTACTATCATTTTACAGGAAGAAACCGACGATTTAAATGCAAAGAAATTAACATTTGTTTTGGGACATGCAATTTCACGGGTTGCTTTGGAGGAAAGCGAAGGCCGCCCTCGAATGACTGATTTTCTCGAAGCTGAAAAGGCTAAGAAATATTCTCACGATGATCTAAATACAAGAAAAACAGAACTGGTAGAATGGCTGACAAGGAATCGAATTCCAGTAAGTGAGAGTTTGGAAGACAGTGCGATCTTGTCAGTGATGGGAGTTCTGTTTGTTGAACCTCCGTATGATCCTGACTGCTGTAGATGTAGCAACGAAATTATACTGGATCGTATTCAGAAACTTATTAGAGCACGGGAAGATCACAAGTGACGGAAGAGACAGCTAAAGTTGAGCGTGTTCATCGCTGTAAATATAAACAATCACTGCACAGTTATGGTGATCAGACGTCAGGTTCAGTTTTGTCTCTGAAAAGGCGAATATGCTCCGAACATGAGGAACCAACTACACGATACAACACGTCTACAAAGACGTACTTGCATTTTGTTGTTTAATTCTATGAATATCATAGTTTTTGTACAATAAGCCATTTTTGTAGTCTCGGTATTGGAGTGTAACTAGCTTACAAGGGAGGCTCATGCGGGGAATATCATTACAAAGAAATTAAGGTGGCCGAACACAGTTTTCGCGCGCGCTTTTGCTAATGCAATTCAGCGCGCGCACAAGGATTGNCTGACACCCTTTCCAAATCCTATGAATCAATAGCTTAGATTGCCTTACCCTGGGCCTGAATTTCCTGTTATTTTTGACACAGCATTATCGGTACGACCTAAATCATCTTCTCCATGGTGTACAACTAGTGATCGGCCAATTATATCCCAAACCTGGCAAAGATGCAAAACATGATAGTTATTCAATATATTCCTCCATCGACAGATTCTCCTAACTGGCCCCTCTAATTTTTCTTCATGGCTTGTGAGAATTTGATTACAATAAAAGCTAGATTAAGCATCAAGGAAGTTGAAAAGAAATGAGAAGAATTTGAAAATTGATAGTAAAGTAACTAGTGCACATAAAAGAAGATGTAAGAGGCTGCAATTACAGTCAATCAACCAGAGGAAGGTGGATAACTCAAAACAGAAATTCTCCTGAACATACCACTTCCTAAGGTGCTAAGGGTACCTTTGATAGGAGAGGCTGTTGGGGGAGGGATACTAAAGATCTGAAATGCTAGAAAGGAACCAAGAATTGGCATTTTAGATGATCACCTATAAATTAAAATCTATTCAGTATGTTGATTACAGTTACCTTCACAGTTTTATCTTCTAATCGAAAAGAAGCCCTGCCGTTCTTGTCTGCTAGTATATTACCAAGGTCTCCAACATGCTTTAAAATAAAATGAAGAAGGAAAGAAGGGAGTTCGAATGAAGGGAAGGACAAAAATTAATGGTGAGTATGCTCTTAAAGAAAGACCTCAAGAAGCGGTGTCTAAAAAAATCTTAAGAGCAAAACATCTGCTGCTAAGTGTGTGGAGTAACTAGTCGCTCTGAAGCTTAAACTGGTATTAATTTTAATCTGTTTTGAGTGACTAGTAAATAAATAAATAAATACACTACAATATTGAGATAGGAAGCACATCACCCTTAGCTAGTTTTCATGTGGGTCCTCTGTCATGGTCGAATTGGAATTTGGAGAACTCAGAGAAAAATCCTCAACCCACATATGGCACTGGGCCGCAATCAAACCTGGGCCACATTGGTAGGACATGACTGCTCTCACCATTGCGCCATCCCTTCTCCCCCCCTCTCCCAGCCCCCAGTAGCAACAAATCTGGTGGCCAGGGATTTAGGCTAAGATTTTGTTGTTGTTGTTTCGCAGGCTAATGCAGCCAGTAAGTGACCAATTTTAAAAATCAATTAATATCAAAACAAAACTAATTTATAAAAAAACTTACTCTCTCACTGTCCTCCGGTGCTCCATGTTTACAATTTCTGGGATTATAGTGATCACCAGTGCTAATGAAATGAATTTAAATATAAACAGTTCTTAGGCTGTGTTCACACTTGGTGTCCGAGTGCGTGACTGGACACTGGCACAAAATGGTGTTGCATTCAGACACTGGGTACCCCAAAGTACCCAAGCACCATTTAGTGCCTGAGTACAAGATCAAGACCTTATACCTGGACATGAGCAGCACTGTGCCAAAATTCTGGTGTGAGTACTTGGAAAAAAGCTTTGTTCACATTAGTTCCCAGTGAGAATCACACTTGCACACCACGCTCTGCACCAGGTGTGAACATAGCCTTATTTTTACAATGTTATTGTTGCAACAAATCATTACCACAATGATGAACAAGAAATGTGGCTGTGTAAAAAGATAACAAACTTTAACTGAAACTTTAACACTGCTTCTGCCAGTAATTTTCAATTACCTACTGCATCCCTGTGACAGATCTCCCAATTCATGAATGTTGAGCCCATGGAGTCCTGGAGTAAGACCATCAATTGTGCCATCAATCACACAGAGATCCTCAGATAGCTAGAAACAGAAACATGTACAGAGCAGCATCAAAGGAGCTCACCATACCAACAGTACTAAACATCTCCATAATCGGAGTTAAAATACTGGGAAAGGGAGGGCGGAGGGGAAAACTGGGGTGTGGGCAGGGGTGTATGGCACCCCAAGGTGGGCCAAGTGTGCTTGTTTTGAGCCCATTTGGACAGAAAATGGTCACAGATTTCCCCACTTTGGTATGAAATTAAGCATGGTTTTGTCTACTAGCCATGGCTTAAAATTTACCATGATCATGGTTTTTAGGCAATTGACAAAAAAATAGTTACATGAAACATTTTGTAATTATCTTTTTTCATCTGAATTGTGATCTTGGAATAAAGAGAGCAAAATATGTGACCCCCCCCACCCCCACCCCCACCAAAAAAAAAACACAATTTCATGCAATTTATTCAATTTTCAAACCATAACAAGATGGTCAACAACACTTGCTCTCTGCAGCAACGTTAAAATAAAATTCCCTGACTTTGACAACAAATTTGTAATGATGACAGTGAGAGTCTGACTGTTCCCTGAGTTTCTCTTGATTTATGTTGCATTTCAGCAGGGCAATGATGAACGCAAAAAGGTGATAATGATGATGATGATGGCACTACTGGTATTTACAGTTACTGTTCATGCAGTACCTGAACAAATCTGGTGACACCAAGAATATTCCCACTACGCATCTCAACCACAGCAGCTCCTAAGTGTTTTGGTTGTGTTTCTGTATTAAGTAACACACAAGGTTGTATATCTTTAACATCCAATTTCTTTTTCAGTATAACGCAATGGGGCCCTGCTCTCTTCACATTGGTTGTCTGCTATCTCTCGGTTCTATTGACATGACATGTAGTGATATGACATGACATGACATTTATTTAAGATACCTTACAACTTAGTTTTTAAAAGTACATCTTGATAAGAGAAACAAGATATCAGCACTCTTAAGTTTCTCTAAAAGGGTTAAATAAATTAAAGATTTACCTGTGGCACCAAGACCACGTAATATGGCCGTTCGTCCTGAGTTTTCTATCATCTTCTGGACTTGCGCTGTTGATAGTGTGGTCTCGACAATGACTTGCTCTGTATCCAGATCCACTGTAAATGACTTAACACCTTTATCAAAGTAACGACCATTGTCAGCTGTATATAACACTGAGGTTTTTTAGGCCGGATGCAGATTAAATATACATAAATATCATAAAAAAAGTCTTGACCAAAGAGCAAAACTCACTTAAACTGTGTTTGTTTTCTTAAGAACAGTTTTGGGAGCAGGTTCTCATGCACTGCGGAACGGGCAAAGGCCAAGCTGCAAGAGACGAGCCAGCAAAAGAAGCAAGCGCCGACTCATTTCTTTTTGCTCTGCCTTTGCTCCTGCTGTGGCCCATGAAAGCCTCAGGTCACAGGCTATCTGAAGAAGTATTATCATATAATAAATGAGTGACCTCAAAGGAAATGAATTAAATGCACGGTACTTGTAATAAACTGCAGGTGCATGGTCTGAGGACCTTTGTAGCACCATCTTCCCCTCTTTCCCTTTTCACATCTTTTGTATAAAAATCAAAGGCTGCAAAAATTGCATTCTCCAGTCTGCACTTTCAATGAGTGATCCTTATAAAGCTATTTATTACTTTTATTGTTTGTGATTAGTTACTAATAATATAAAATAGCTTGATGTACCCTCTGCTCCATGAAGCGAATTGTGAATTGCATTTACGCACTTCTGACATGTCATTTGCACAGCAAACTCCATCTAAAAAAAAAAAAACATACCAAAGGTGTCATTTAATCATTACACATTAAAATTACTTAAGCTTTAATCTAGTTGAAATTTTCTCATTGTAGTTGTTATTGTGTCTGATTACAAATTATTGGGTTACTGAAAGTGCACGTGTAGAATACTCCAATGACTTCGTAGCAGATCATTTGGTCAAGAACAGGTAGTGAAATCAGTACCTGTTTGGTCTGGTAACGATCTTGCAGGCAGGCTATATAACACATTCCATACCAGCTGCTGGGCAGGGGCTGGGGGGAGGGTGCGACTCCAATAGGGAAAGGATGAGGATGCTCAAAAGAACCCCCAAAAAGGTACCAAGATCCTATGTTATGGGGATGGCTTGAATTTTTGTTTGGCATACCTGTGGTATCTCACACCACTGTCATCGGCTCGTGTCTGTTAATGCACATGAGCTAGAGTATCCTACACATGTACCCTCAGGGTAGCTATTTTTTTCTCCCCTAAAAGGTACAAATTCTTACACAACACATCATTTCCTGTCAACTTTTTTCAGCTCAACACTCTAAAATGTACTGCAAAAGCTCCGGCTGTGGACCTTTTGAGGCTAAACACCCTAAGACGTACCAAAACCGCTTTTTTAACCCCTAAAAGGTACGATGAGCACCCCC